CCCTATCTTTCTTTTTCTTTACAGGGGAGAGCAGAAAGGAGTGGGATCCTTCTGCTTTTGCAGGGCTCTGTGACACACCCAGATGTACTCTACCCCAATGACACCTCTATGAAGGATGCAGTGGGACCCAAAGGCCCATGTAAACTACCAGCCTACTTCCCACCAATCCCAAGGGACTCTCCCTGGTGTTCCCTCCAAGCCATTTCACATGACAATGGAAAATAGAGTATTATAAATAAAACCTCAGCTGAATTCACAATAAATTACATTAAGAAAAAAGAGTTAGCACCTCAAAAATCAATTAGCAGGGAAGGAAATAACCTGCAAATGAAACCATGTCTGCTATTTTAATATATACCAGGTAGATGGAAAAAACACAGTGAGCAATGATAAAATGAAGATTCTTGAAAGAAGAAAAATAAAGATGGATTCTTAAATTTGACACTGGCAAAGAATGTGAGTTCATTATATGTTCTCCTTGTTGCAAGAAGGACAAGGAGTCATTTTGGGGGAACAACTGGAACTGGATCTAGATTTGTCCTTGGCTGCCCACCAAGAAAACATAACTCACAGCAGGAATGGCCTTATGTACAGTTACTACCAATGGAGATAGATAAATGACCATGCCTAGCATGGTGTTTTCTGTACATTATAATCTTCCAAAACTAAAGGAGGTCTTTTGCAGTGTGTTTTCTATTTAAGTATTTTCTTCCACAGGTGGCTAATTATCCAATCAAAAAAAAAAAGTAATTAGTCAAGGTCCATCATACAACTAGAAAGACCAATACATTCAGCACTTACTTACCAAGCACCTCATCTTTGCCAGACACTGTGGATAGGACAGTATCAGAGACACACTGCCTGCCTGAGACCAGATCAGTGTGTTGGAGGAGGTGGGAAGGGGAAAGCAGTAATTCATGAACATTAGACAGAGACAAAGATTTACAGTGAGTTTTTCTTTTGTTAGCACATGCCAGATACCTACATATACTCCATTTTGTTGACTCTTCACAATAAGCCTGAAGGTATGTAAGATTTTCCTATTTCATAGATGAATGAAAAAAAAACCTCAAAAAACTGGGGCTAAGAGAAATAAAGCTTATCTTGGGAAGATAAATTGTAACCAATGTAGTAAGAAATATAGCAGACATATACATGCCTAGACAGTCTCTCTTTGGGGAGCCTGAAAACCATACCAAAGGAGATTAATTAAGAGTTCGATGGGGCACCTGGGTGGCTCAGTTGGTTAAGGGTCTGACTTCGGCTCATATCACGATCTCACGGTTCGTGAGTCCAAGCCCCACGTCTGGCTCTGTGCTAACAGCTCAGAGCCTGGAGCCTGCTTCAGATTCTGTCTCCCTCTCTCTCTGCCCTTCCCCCACTCACACTCTGTCTCTGTATCAAAAATAAATAAACGTTAAAAAAAAATTAAAGAGTTGGAGATGCCATCTGGGAAGACATGCATTAGATGGAAAGGCAGGGACACACATTCAGCGAAGAGGGAATAGCATGTGCAACGTTATAAGAAGATATGGTGTGTTCTGGGAACAATGAAAAATTTAGTGGGGCTCCTGGGTGGCTCAGTTGGTTAAGCACTGGACTCTTGATTTTGGATCCCACAGTTTATGAATTCAAGCACTGCATCGGGCTCCATGCTGAAAGCACAGACCCTGCTTGGGATTTTCTCTCTCTCTCTGACCCTCCCCCATATTGTGCTCTCCATCTCAAAATAAACGAATGAACATTTTTTTAAAGAAAAATTTAGGGACATTAAATTTCAGGTAGCAGATTGGGAAATAAGCTAGGGCTAGATTATCAAAGGGTATATGGGCAGAGCTAAAGAAAAGAGATATTCTGTAGACAGTGGGGATGTTAATGAGCTGTTATAAGTGTGACAAGTTAAAGCAAGCCATCAGTGTATCTGGTTGCTTACACAGGACTTGAGCAGCACAATCATCAACAACAAGGAGAAAATATCAACCATTCAGGAGTGAAGGAATGATGCCCTCCTGAATTGGAAATGAACATCCACAAGATACCATCACTGAGCATCTGTTATGTGCTGGGATTTGGTACATATGTAATGATCTTTTTTTTTTTTTTTTTCTTTCCTGATGCGATCTTGTAACTCCCTAAAGAGATTGCAGTACAACTAAGATAGCAGAGGTTTAGTTGTTTGGAATCTCCATGCCTAGATAGTAGTGCAGGCTATAAGATATAGTTGGAGATAGGAGATGAAGGAGCTCAGGGGTTTGGATTGCTATCTTGTCTCAGTAGGCATATCACAACTGACAAAGTCCTCTGTGTATAACATTTGATAAAAATATTTGTATCACTAGGTTAAACCTCACTCATCTATACCATTTGTGGAATGGTCTGTGTAATTTAATAAAAACACCAAATTGTGAGATGGGATTTTATTACAAAATCAGATTTTCTCAAAGTGAGTGTCTTGAGATGCCAGTCGTGGAAATTGTCTCCAGAATGATGGCAAGGATAAAGATGCTCATGGGGTTGTTCTAAAATAGCTTAAAATATCAACTATTTTTTCCTATGTCATCATCATGTGCATCTATTCAAACTGCTTAACTGGCCAATTTTTTTTTGCTCAACATGGCATCAACGAGCATCACTTACTGATGTTCCACTGACATTTGACTTTGTCTCTAGGATCTAAGCTGGCTTCACTAACATCTAGTCCTTGATAGGATGGCTGGAAGACTGGGCTCTCTCTCTCTCCAAGATGTCTGGAAGTGTGATCTCTCTCTAGCAGGGTAGTTGAATCTTTTACATGGTGCTTCAGGATTACAAGAGACTAAGGCACTACAGTTTGTTAACAGTTAGGTCTAAAACTGTTATGTCATTGGTGACATATTCTATTGGTCAAAGAACTCTCAGGCCAGCCCACATTTAAGGAGTAGGAGAACAGACACTGCATTTGATGGGTGACTTGCCTGCCTGTATAAGAGGGGAAGGAACTGATGACGGCCATCTTGGACACAAGCTACCACGACCATGGCAATGATGAGGGCGCTGCTGTTGTTTCTGGAAGGTGGCATTTGTTTTGACAGAACTTTTCAATGAAAGGCCAGATAGTAAATATTATAGGCTTTGTAAGCCGTATACAGTCTGTTGCATATTCTTTTTTCTTGTTTTTGAACCCATTAAGAATGTAAAAACAAAACAACACAAAAAACATTTTTTATGTCACAGAGTAAACCAAAACAAGTCACAACTGGATTTGGTCCCTGGGCTATAGTGTACCAACTCCTACTCTAGGGAGTTCCATGGCCAAACAAACTTGTGAGGCTATATATGTCATCTCTTTTCAGAGCTCCATAGCCCACATAGTGAAGTCTTAAGTAAAAAAAAAAAATCTAGGGGCACCCGGGTGGCTTAGTCAGTTAAGCATCTGATTCTTCATTTCAGCTCAGGTCGTGATCTCACGGTCTGAGAGACAGACCTCTGTGTCAGACTCAGCACTGAACATGGAGCCTGCTTAAGATTCTCTCTCTCCCTCTGCCCCTCTCCTTTACTCATGCTCTAATTAAGAAAAAAAGATTTTAAAAATCTAATACTATAGTTTTAAAGCTTTATTCTTTTCTACTTAAAACCTATTTTAAGTAACGTTTTAGAAAACATAGCTCTACAGTCGTGTGAAATTAGGCTGCGACCAAGGAGTAGACTTAGAATCTAAAGATTTTGTTTAATCAATAGATTTAACAAATTGATTTCCCTCGAGTGGTAGTTGGATAGAGGCAATGATTTCACCAAAGTACCCAAAAATATTGTGTCCTTCTAAGTAGCTTAATCCTCCCATTTATAGTGCTATTTTAAGCCTCTATGAATTTAAAGAATGCCTGTTGTCCTAAATTATTGACTTCTATTCCAGAATATGCCTAACATCTCACAGACTGAAGTTAGAAAAATACAAGTCAGGGGCGCCTGGGTGGCGCAGTCGGTTAAGCGTCCGACTTCAGCCAGGTCAAGATCTCGCGGTCCGTGAGTTCGAGCCCCGCATCGGGCTCTGGGCTGATGGCTCGGAGCCTGGAGCCTGTTTCCGATTCTGTGTCTCCCTCTCTCTCTGCCCCTCCCCCGTTCATGCTCTGTCTCTCTCTGTCCCAAAAATAAATAAACGTTGAAAAAAAAAATACAAATCAGTAAGTCAATGATGTTATGTCAACATAGCATTGTCAACAGAGTGTGGGACTTGGCCTTGGACCTTTGGATTATGTCAAAGTGCTGTCATATCATGGCTGTGGAATTTAAAATAAGTGACTGGATTTTTCCAACCTCTGCTTCCCAGAACACTGGAAAATGGAGGCCATTTACCTCTCAAGATTGTTGTGAGGACTGCAGGGAACAATAATGCACATGTGAAAACTCTCCACAAACTCCTAAGTCTGATGCAAAGGTATATTTCCAGAGTTGTATAGAAATGGCATCATCAGTAAGAGTAGTCTTTTATGATAAGTTACTTCTAACTTACTACATTTTGTTTCTCTTATGGGAAGTCAGAGGTAGAATTGAGGGGTATGTGGCATCAACCCGAATAGGTTTGAATCCTGGCTTAGTATCTGTGAAAACTTGGGCAAGGTTCTAAACCTCTCTGATCCTTTACCATCCTCATCTGTAAGATGATAATAAGCTACTTACAGCATAGGGTTGTGAAAAGTATTATTAGGCAGGAATAAAAAGTGTTTTAGCATCCAGTCTATCACAAGGTAAGCAGTCATCAAATCCAAGTATTATCATTCCTAAAACTAGTAGTTACTAATGACCATACTATAGGAATCTGATAACCAACTTGAGGTTCTAAGATGGATTTTTCAATTTTTTTTTTCAAAATTACATGACTGACAATGAGTGTCAATAGTAATAACATTCCTAGTTAATACTTACATAGTGTTTACTATATTCTTAGGCTCTGGTCCTGAAGATTTACATTTATTAGATCATTTATTCTTACAATAGCCCTGCAAGGTAGGGACTATCCTTACCTCAATGATGCACATAAAGTGATTTGCCTGAGGTCACACAGATGTTTATTGGTGAGCCCATTTGCCAGTTCTGGAAATCAGCTTCCAAAGTGGAGATTCTCAACCACTGGCATATATTGCTTCTGGAAAGAAGAAAGATTCAAAAGAAAAGATGACAGTTAGGCAGCCCAAAGAACAGACCCATTGCCAGAAACATTCAGCTGGTAGAAAAGAGCAGAACCCTTCCACAGCATTTAATGTCCTTCCCTAGGACAAACCATACCACAGATTTCCTTCTCAATGCACAAAAAAGTAAATAATATTACCTATGGACACAATGTCACAGACCATGGATTCCTGGAAAATATGAATCCCTGTCTAAAATACTTAGTATCTTTAGAGTGTCTCCCTAACTTCCCAAGTTTTAACATCAGCCAATGCAGCAGACAGGACTTGGGACTAAAACAAAATGTGACATGACCCACTTAGGAAAGTGACCCACTTAGCCACTTCCAAGCTAGCATTTTCTAGCAACTTCTCGTAAGTGTGAGCCACATCCCATCATTTCCCATTATAGACCTCCTGAGAATAAATTTTACCATTCTCTAATAATAAACCTTTAGGAAAAAAAGACTAGGAAACAACATCTGTAAGGGATGCCTATATGAAATGTGTTTGTTGATTCAATAAATATTTACCAACTGTCTACCAGCTAGGCACTGCTCTAAGCATTGGAGATTCATCAGCAGACAAGACAAAAAGAAACTTTAATCTCAATGTATTTTCATTCTTATGTGAAAATCAAGTAAAAGCAAACTAATTTCAGATAATGAGAAAGACACAGAAGACTGTATACAAAATGAAGAGGTAATAAGGTGAAGACTTTTGAAAAGATGGTTTTACCAGTTAGCTATTTCTGTGTAACAAAGCACCCCAAAATATACGGACTTAAAGAACAAGTATTTCTCTTAATATAGTGGCTTAAAATACCAACTATTAATTCCCATGCATTAAGGAACAGGTAAGTAGTTCTGCTGATCTTGACCCAGTGAGACTAATCCAGGTTGAGTTCAGTCATGAATTTGCAGTCAGAAGACAGATCAGCTTGTGCCAGGCTCATATCAAATAGCTTCTGCTCTTACGCCTGGACGTTAACTTGGATGATGAGATGACTGGACCATGTGTCTCACATCAAACAGGAGACAGGCCTGGGCTTGTTTATATGATGGAGGCAGGGGTCAAGAGAACAAGAAAAGTATGCAAAGAGTGTTAAGGCCTATGATGAATACACTGGATTTTTAAAAATTAATTAATTAATTTTAATATGAAATTTATTGTCAAGTTGGTTTCCATACAACACCCAGTGCTCATCCCAACAGGTGCCCTCCTCAGTGCCCATCACCCACCCACCCCTCCCTCCCATCCCCCCATCAACCCTCAGATTGTTCTCAGTTTTTAAGAGTCTCTTATGGTTTAGCTCTCTCCCTTTTTCTTTCTCCCCTCCCCCATTGTTTTCTGTTAAGTTTCTCAGGATCCACATAAGAATGAAAACATATCGTATCTGTCCTTCTCTGTATGACTTATTTCACTTAGCATAACACTCTCCAGTTCCATCCATGTTGCTACAAAGGGCCATATTTCATTCTTTCTCATTGCCACGTAGTATTCCATTGTTGTATATAAACCACAATTTCTTTATCCAATCATCAGTGGATGGACATTTAGGCTCTTTCCATGATTTGGCTATTGTTGAAAGTGCTGCTATAAACATTGGGGTACAAGTGCCCCTGTGCATCAGCACTCCTGTATCCCTTGGGTAAATTCCTAGCAGTGCTATTGCTGGGTCATAGGGTAGGTCTGTTTTTAGTTTTTTGAGGAACCTCCACACTGTTTTCCAGAGCGGCTGTACCAGTTTGCATTCCCACCAACAGTGCAAGAGGGTTCCCGTTTCTGCACATCCCCGCCAGCATCTATAGTCTCCTGATTTGTTCATTTTAGCCACTCTGACCTGCGTGAGGTGGTATCTGAGTGTGGTTTTGATTTGTATTTCCCTGATGAGGAGTGACATTGAGCATCTTTTCATGTGTCTGTTGGCCATCTGGATGTCTTTAGACAAGTGTCTATTCATGTTTTCTGCCCATTTCTTCACTGAATTATTTGTTTTTTGAGTGTGGGGTTTGGTGAGTTCTTTATAGATTTTGGATACAGCCCTTTGTCTGATATGTCATTTGCAAATATCTTTTCCCATTCCATTGGTTGGCTTTTAGTTTTGTTGATGGTTTCCTTTGCAGTGCAGAAGCTTTTTATCTTCATGAGGCTCCAACAGTTCATTTTTGCTTTTAGTTCCCTTGCCTTTGGGGATGTGTCAAGTAAGAAATTACTGCAGCTGAGGTCAGAGAGGTTTTTTCCTGCTTCCTCCTCTAGGGTTTTGATGGTTTCCTGTCTCACATTCAGGTCCTTTATCCATTTGACTTTATTTTTGTGAATGGTGTAAGAAAGTGGTCTAGTTTCATTCCTCTGCATATTGCTGTCCAGTTCTCCCACCATCATTTGTTAAAGAGACTGTCTTTTTTCCATTGGATATTCTTTCCTGCTTTGTCAAAGATTAGTTGGCCATACTTCTGTGGGTCCAATTCTGGGTTCTCCATTCTATTCCATTGGTCTATGTGTCTGTTTTTGTGCCATACACTGGAATTTTGATTGTATATTCTTGGTCACAGTAGGTTTGTTTTCATGGTCAGCTCAGATTCAAAGGGAGGGGAAATAGACTGCACTTCCTGATGAAATAAACTGCAAAGTCACATGGCAAAAGGCATAGATACAAAGAAGAATGAACATTAGGGAAATGTCTGCCATACATCTACCGTGATCGTCAAGATAAGCCCCCTGGAGGATTGACATTTGAGCTGACACTTGAATGATGAGAAGAGGCACATATACAAAGAGCTCAGTCTAGGCAAAGGGATGTCAAGTACAAATGAATACTTGTACTTGACCACCTGAAATATACGTGTATGTGCATGCATGTGTAAATAAGTATGTGTGTGCACATACATCTGATAATCAGTGGAATATTCTGTCAGCTGAACATGCCTGTATGCTTCTTTTCCCCACCTCCTGTCTTTTGATATAGTAATATTCACACATCAATAGAAACATAGGACTCAATATATTCTTTTCTCACAACTTGGTGTGCATAAGAACCACCTTTACAGATTCTTTGGGCCTCCTCCCTACGAGTTCTGATCCAGGAGATCTGGGGTAGGACTCAGAAATCTGCTATTTATCAAGGACACCTAATAAATCTGAAGCACAGTTTCTATATCTAATTAATTAATAAACAATGTTTAACTTTCTCAAGCTTTGGATGATCCACACTCTTCCTGCTTTCCAGGTAACTGATGCCTAATTGTGTCTAATTTATATTAACTTAATCTATACTATCTAGACCTTTCTCCCAAAGCTAATATGGTGAAATGTGGACTGGCTGATGAGGAAAAATAGAAATGGACACATAGCATGAGCAATGAAAACCTCAAAATCTTTCACAAGTCCCTTGTTGCTCATTCAAGCGAGAAAATTTTAATTTTGCCTGCTTCCAAGGAGCCCTTAACTCAGAGTGTATCAAGTCCCTGGCAAAGCACTCTTTACAGAGGCTATCAACACTGCCTCCACACCAACTTTTTGTTTAAGTAAATGAGCAATTAATTAATGGAAGTGGAGAGGGGGACCTGGGCTTAGATATTTCATTTTTCAGGACTCCCCTATACTTGGAATGTACCATAAAGATTGATATCCACTGAGTTGAAGGATGCAACTGGAACTTTTAAAAGCAACAAAAAATACCAGCTTGAATGAAATATTTAGGGTAATAAGCAGCTCATGTAAATACATACAGATATGCTTCAGGGGAGTCTAAGTTCAGGGCTCAAATTCCCACTGAGAAATCAATTCTCTCATTGCCTAACAGTCAATTCTCAGGTGTCCTGCAAAAAGCATGGAGTAATAAAATCCACTTAGCTGGTAGTATAATCATTTCATTAACTTAGCAACTGCCATAAAATATAATTTAGTTTTAAAAGTAAATATGCCATTGTGATGTGATTACCCTCTAGGGACAAGTTCCCCATTTTAGAATATCACTTAAAGTTTAAGGGAGAAAAAAATGTCACCATATTCAAGCCCACTGTATTACTTTAATAGGATACAATCCATAGAATGAACCCAATTAATCAGAGATAATACAAAGTATAGGTCACAAAAGTTTTGGAGGCTAATACACTTCAATTTGGATCCCATCTCAATGGTTTGTATGATTGGGGGTATGTTTCTGTTTGAGCCCCTATTTTTTCATCAATAAAATGCCATCATAGTGCTGACTCCACAGGCTGATGCCTGGAATAGCAGACAGAAGAAATCAGAAAACTTCTTCTGTAAAGTACCAGATGGTAAATATTTGAGGCTGTGTAGGTCAGACAGTTTCTATTCCAACTATTCAACTCTGCTGTTGCAGCTGGGGGCTGCCAGCCAAAGAAACACAAGAGCATGGCAGTGTCTCAATGAAACTTTCTATACCAACACAGGATATAGTGTTTGAAAATTCTTTGTTAACCACAGAGTTAGAGCATATATTTAAGCATTTATGTTTTTTAATGTTTATTTATTTTGAGGTGGGAGAAGGGCAGAGAGAGAGGGAGACAAAGAACCCCAAGCAGACTCTCTGCTTTGAGTACAGAGCCAGACATGGGATTAGATCTCACAAACTGTGAGATCATGACTAGAGGTGAAATCAAGAGTCAGGCTCTTAACCAACTGAGCCACCAAGGCGCCCCTATAGTTAGGCATTTAACATAATTGTTTCCTATGCTCCCTGAGTTAGAGCACATAGTTAAGCATTTACCGTAATTCTGAACAAACTATGAGCTCAGTAAGCGGTAACCAGCCCTGTGGCTCATGAAGATGGTAACAATGGTGAGAAGGACACTTTTGGTGATATTGTTAGCACCATCACTGTCAGGGCTGAGAATTAACAGACAGGGAATCCGGTTCTACTTATGACACTAACTTTCTATAAGTTTTGGTCAAACTACTTTTCGTCTACAAACATCACCTTCAAAAGAGGACATCAGCAGACTACATCCAG